AAAAAAGACCAGAACTAATGAAGTTAATAAAGTCATGTTTTAAAAGATCTACTTTGTGGCCTCAGATTTATATTCTCAAACTGTCGAAAAATATGAGGGTATACTTGGAAGAGGAAAAGTTTTCTGGTAGATTTGCAGATCTTTTACTTGAAATTGGCAATAGTGATTATCCATCAGTTAATGAAATGATAACTATCCCAGAAAATTAGTGCACAATTGTAACTACGGTTCAGGATTTAATATCAAAAATTAATCCAGATATGCTCATATTCATGATAAGCCTATGGAATGGTTGTGTGAACGTGCTATACTCACTCCAAAAAATGACTAAGCGGCGGCTATCAATGATATACTGTGATGTCTTTTGAAGGGGAAGAAAAAGTACATACTTCAATAGATACGGCGGTGGTCAACATAGACGATGCAACTAATTATCCGGTTGAATTTTTAAATTCATTGAAACAACCGGGTATGCAACATCATCAGAGGCGGTTCTAGGACTAGATTTTCGTACGGGCAAACAATATATTTTATGTTTCAAGTTACGTTCCAGTTGCGATTTACCCATCGGTACGCTAACACGTTCGTCGTCAAACGCTCGCTTATCTAAGCTCCGTAATTATTTCAGTTATCGTAAATTGCCCATCTATTTAAAACCGTTATCGCATTAAGCCGCACCGGGTGATCACGCACGCCGTGCGCACCGGTCTCGGCATGTCGCGGGCACCGGGTCGTAATCGGTTCGCCTCGCTCTCCTCTCCTGACCGTCGCTCAACCGCTTCAACATCTATTAAAAACAAAGATGTTTCGCCTACCACATCAACACAATCAAAAAAATCTAAACCGTCTACAGGTAATTCACCGCCTTTATCTCCTCTAACAAATACACACACGCAATCAACGACTACATCAAATAATTCTAATATGGATTGCACTGCAGGGGCTGCAGTTAGGCCACTTAATTCGCAGTCCGCTTCTTCGTCTATTACCACTATCGACTCCGCTACCAGCCCAAAAATAATGCAAACTAACGCGCAAGAAACTTTT